AAAACAACTCATCTTGGAGTACAGAACAACGAGCGGAACAAACATAACTGCAAAAGAAACGCACGGCGAGCAGTTCCCGCACGCCGCATCGCACGCCGGATGACGTGTCGTCTGCTACCGGAGAGGAGAAAAAAGAAAAAAAGAAACGCACGGTCGGGTGTAACCACGTGACTTCCGCCACTCACTCTCTTCTCTCCACTTCTCCGACCTCCGTCGGGTTTCGGTTTCGGTTTCGAGCAGTTGCGTCTTTTGGCTTTATTAAAAAAATACGCTACTCTGTTGCAAAATATTAATTGGGTAGTCCTCCGACACCATAATGAAGCGCCTGGCAAAAAATAAAAAAAAATTTTTGGGGGGTGTCAGTGTCCCTTTAATTAAGTGCTGGACAAACGGAGGACACTTTGTATTGTGTTGTGATGTGACGTGTTGGGGCGGAACTCGCTGCTTGTGTTTTTGCTGCTGAGACATCCCACAAGTATACAGTGCTGTAGACGTTGCCGAGCAATTACGAAAAAAACAAAAAAACTTGCTATCGTTTTACTGGTTCCCGACGTGGGAGCTTTTTATAAAAAGTAAGCAAACGTAAAACAATGAATTGCAAGCGTCCAGGCTGGTGCCTCTCGTGCAATCATGTTCACATGCACGTGGGGGCAACTTCGGCAGGCTTGCAGTTACACGCGCTTCGTCGCACGAGCGGAGACAACGGCTGTTCGACCGAAACCGAAACCATGCCACTCTGCTCCGTCGGCAACTGTTTCCCAAAATTGTATGCAAAATGTAACTGTCCAGCATACGACAATAAACAGTCCAGCGGAGCGTGCTTGCCAGGCCGACAGGCGAGGTGCAGGCTAAACACACAGAAAAAAAGAACCTGAGCGTATGGATGCAAGACATAGAGAATCAGGGTTAAAAAGTTCTTGGAGCGCCTAGTGCAACGACTGAACTCCAGACAAACAAGCGCGGTGTGCAGGTTCAGCATGCAGGCATTGCCTTCTTTGCTTTAGCTCACTTCTCGTCATCAACTTTCTTTCGCGGCAGATTTTTCACGTACCGGAGTCCCTCTCGAAAGAAAGCCCACCGAGAGAAACCCGAGTAATCAAAACTTCGCCAAGCAGTCATTGAGTTAAAGAGGGATTTTTATAGCAGCGTATGATTTAAACAAGAGCAGGAATGTCGATGCGTTTCAGTTTAGAGAGCGCCATATCTGCAGCGACGTGGGAACGGCAACACACGACGTCGCGGGACCACGGCAACTGTGGTCGCGCGAGCGCTGCAGTTCACAAAGTAACTCTCGCCGCGCAAAAACGTGGTTTTGTTTCACAGCATGACGACGGCACGGCTGGCATTCGGCACACTAACGTCGGAGCGTCCGCACACGGCCGCGTCTATCGCTAAAAAAATTTAACAAAATAAAAAAATAAAAAGAAGACGCGAGTCAAGATTTCCGAGACGACAACAGCGCGAAACGCGAGACGGTGGGAAAAATCATGCAAGACCGCATAGACGATTGATGCAGGGTACTTTGTGTCGGGCGGCGCCTTGTGCCACCTAGCTCACGCATGCTCAATTACGGTTTTCAGTTTAGTTTCGTTCTTGAAAGGCGACCAAAATTGGTCCTTTGGCGCAGGCTTGGCGCAGATTAGTCATATTTTGGAGAAATGTAGCAGGATGTAGCAGGGTTAGCCCTTTGGCGCAGTTTGACGCAATTGGCGCAGGAATCACATCACTGAATTATAAGCGTAAGGTCATCGAGAAGCTCCAGCTGAACTTGGAAATCAAACGTGAGACCAAGATCGACGTGTACATGGTGATCGAGATGGTGGCTGCATCGTGGAGAGCAACCCGGTCCTCAACCGTTGTGAACTGTTTCCAGCATGCTGGTTTCCACACTTCTACTTCCGAGGCTGCGTTGGGCTCCACAAGCCCACAACACGAGCAGGAAGAGGCATCACCCAGTTGTTGGAAGAGCTTCGGCGGCGTGACCTTGTGGCCGCAGATCAGAAGTTCGATGACTTTGTGAACGCCGACGCAGACGCGAACACTGACACAACAGGAGTTCTCGACGACGAGGAGATAGTGCAGCTTGTTTCCGGCGCACAAGAGGAGTCTGAAGATGCGAACGATCCGGATGCTGTCGAAGCTCCCGTGCCCACACCAAGCCAGGTGATGGACGCCGTCGACCTTCTGAGGCGGTTTGCTGGGGCACACGAGGGTGCCGAGGACGCTTTGACTTCACTTGCCAGCTACGAAAAGTGTGTGCGCCCGCTGCTCATGAAGCGCGCGCAGGCAAAAATCGCGAGCTTTTTCACTAGGAAATAAATTTGTCGTTCTCTCCAGAGCTGCGAGCTTTTTTTTGCTTTTTTCGACACGCACACGCAGCTGTGCTCTCGCTCATTTGCGGAGTTCTTGTACGTGCATTTTTTCTTAAGTTTTGGCAGTTTCGGCTTGTGGACTGCGCGAATGTGATACCGCGGTAGTTCGTAGGATGCCGCTGCGCTAATACTTCAAATTTATCAAATCCTATGCCCGAAAAATGACTTTCCCGATTTTATGAAGTTCCCAATTTAATGAAATAATTCACGGGTCCCAGTGACTTCGTTAAATCGAGGTTCAACTGTATATGAATTCAAATAGAATAGAAAGTTTCCGAATAATTCGATTCGTGAATCGAATTCCTAGTATTCGGTCACTCAAATATTCAATATATTCGGCCAAAGACGAGCGGTCGGTGCGGAGCTGACGAAAGAGTCAGTTGTTCTCCCGATGTGCGCACCATGATGTTCGACAGAACATGCAAAAAACACATCTTGGACGTACCATTCCACAAAAATCTAAAGCACAGGTTAGAAAAAAAGAAAATAACGAACGCCACAAACTTTATAGCACGCAGATTTACTCATGATCATAACGCAATTTGCAATCTAACCTTAAACCACAACTGAAACACCCCATTTGTGCCGCTTCCAGGGGGGAATAGTTGGGAGGCTGGAATTCCGCGCCACGCCTCATTCTTTTCACGAATAAAGGCCCTCGTTTCAAATTGAAGCGCCAATGTAGAACACACTTGCCAAACTCGCAGAAATCGGCGACTGCACAATCACAAAAAGAAAACCACGTTAACCACGCCGATGAAACCAGCCGAGACAGCCGAGTTCGGAACTGCAACCGCAAATTCTGATTTGGAATGAAACGGAACAGGAAAATAGTGTGCCTAGATTTGAGAGGGTTTCCAACCGTTCGATAGCCGGGTTTACGAACTGCGAGAAGGTGACAAAAAGATGAAAGCGTCGATTGGGGCAGGCGTCGTCGCTCTTCCGTTTGCTCGCTTTCTTTCCACATGACTACACAACACATGCGCACTTACGGCCAATCTGCGCAGGACATAGAGGCGCAAGAGCCGTCTCCATGGTTTCAGTTTCGCTTGCTCCCTCTTTTAAATCTAGGCTCTCTAAAACAAGATAGATGGACGGAGGAATGGATGCATAGTGGTAGTTGGATGGTGACTTGTACCATCTAACCAAATATTTTGTCTTACTTTAGATTTTATCATTAAGCCTGTTTACTCAGATTTAACCGATATCTGTAAATTTATATATATACGTATATATGTATAAAAAAAAGTCCTGGGTGCACTTCATCGCCCTTAAAATTGAGACCAAACATCGCAAAATGCCCCTTTTCTGGGATATACAAATATAAAAAAAAGTGTGTTAGGCCGTGCTTTTAACCAGAAAAAAAGGCAGCACGCGTGGCTGTAACTTAAGGTTTTTCTGACGCTTAGGATAGATAGATTATGATTGTGCAATAAACTTGGATCCTTAGTGCCCAACGTCCATCAACAGCTGTTTTTTTTTTTTGTTTTTTTTTCTCACCAGAAATTTTATACATTTGAGCTTTTGTTCCGTAAGAGATGCATATTCTGCACCAGGTGCACTCTGCACATATATTAATCTCATTCGCAGCACACTTTGAAAAATTCCTACAAATAAAATCAATATTTGATTCAATATTTGGCTTTTTTTTCTTAATTCAATTCGGTATTCGATTCAACAACTACTATTCGGTATTCACACACCCCGAGTCAAAAGTATGCTAAGCCCAACGCAATTTTGTTGAGGATGAAAAAGTATAGACAAACGTGAAATTGAAGCAAAAAGCTTCATTGGCAAACTTGTACAAGAGACAAAAGAAAGAAAGAGCGTTGAGAATGGAAAAGCGAGCGTCGAGGTGCCGGCATGACAGCTGGTTAGAGCGAGATTGTCTCGGCAAGGCCATGCTGGCCTTCTTATCTATTACATTCAGTATCTCGAACATTCGGCCTAGAATGTTCAAGTGTCGAACATTTTGGGGTAAGAGTAAACACGAATATTGTAGAAGCGCAGAGTAGGATGAATCAGTCAAAGTAAGGTCCAGGCCAGACATCGAACCCAGGACGCCTACATGAGAGCCACATGCGTTCCCTCTCGGCCATGCACGCGGCATTATTGCCTATGCCCCTAGAAACATAAAATCTTTGTGTTCTTTTGCCAATATACAGTAGACTCCCATTAGTCCAAACTCTAGAAAGCCACAAATTGTGTTTGAATAATCAGAAATTAATTTAAATATGATGCAAGATAAAACTATGATTTGCCATATGAATGGCTACAAATACAAAGCAAGTATTTGATGATTTTCTCTCATAGGCCTACTGATCATATGCAGGTAGGCCACACATGAAACATTTGTGAAATGTATGACATAAGTTTATCTTTTAAAAATGTTGTTGATCATGGACCGCTTAGACAGCACATGACAACTAAAAACAAAAATAAGTTTGTTCATCAGTCCAAGAAGTTGTCTAATGTGGACTATTAAGTAGGGGACACACGAGCGGCGACAACGGGCACCACGCGGCAGTTTTCATAGCAACTTGCGCGGACTCTGCGACATGGACCTATGCCATTCTGCCACGTCACAAAAAAAAAACCAAGCGAGTTGCGAAAGGTAATTAAGCTCACCTCACATCCTTGTCTATCTGAAGGAGAACGTCATTGTCCTTGAAGAACACCTGCCACTTGGAGTTGGGGTTGCAGTTCAGGGGCTGCACGCAACACAAATCATGTCAAGAAAAAATGAAAGGCGTTTACAACTCCCTGTAATGTAGAATCAGAGTGCAGCTCTTGAGGAGGAGGAGGACGGGAGGGTACAAAGAGGAGGGTACGCCCCTCCCCCTCCTCCGTACCCTCTCCTCCTCCTTTGTCCTCCTCACGCCCCTCCATCCTCTCTCATTCTCCTCCTCTTCCTCCTCCTCCTTCCCTCGTGACGTCACTCCTAAAGGCCTCATGAAGGTCGTGACCTTTACGAGTAAAGATCACATAAGAGTCGTGACCTTCACGAGAGACCTTCGTGACATCACTCGTGACCCTAGTGAGCCTTGTGATGTCATATGTGACGTCATTATGGGAAATATCCCATAATTCAATGCGCGGTTACGCCGACAGCGACGCCGCTCAAGCCGGAAACGAGTGCCTAAGAGCTGCGCTCTAAAAGACCTAAGTTGAACGCAATCAACCTGGCACAAAAGTTGCATGCAATTTATGTACCCTGATATGGCTTAGTCCCATAACATGACTCGTGATCTTTTTTTGCCTACAAAACAGGTTAGCTTTTAGGTAACCCGAGCAATCTCCTGCAGTAACGCTTTCTCACAGAAGCATCCTTTCACAAGTGGTTGGCAATGCTCAAGCACCATCATCATCATCATCATCCTCACCATAATTATCATCCCGCCTTTATTTTCATGCCCATGAGCAACTAAAGGTCTGATGTGACATAACCTAATACTTACGTAAAGCATGCTAAACTAAGCAGCCTTTGTTGATGCACAAGCACTAGCAAAGGTCGCTGACAAGGCATTTTTGACATGCCTGCAAACAGTGCCATTGATCACTCTGAAAAGATGAGATCCCTACGAAGCTCAGTAAGCTATCTTGTCCATGAAAAATAGAGAGGGCAAGAGAAATGTAAAGGCATGCTAAAAATGCTCATGACCTGATCTTGTAAGACTGAATTGGTCTAGCTGCTCCCTGAATTTTGAGAAAAACAAATTCTAAGATATGTGGAGGAAGGAAAACAAATTTGAACAAATGTGGTGATGTGGCTGCAACCAGCTGCTGGTGATGTGTCTTGCTCTGGGCCGGTTAGGTCATGTTTGCATCTGACAGCACTCCTTGCCTACGTAACGCTTTCTAGAATATCATGCATCTCCATCTGCGCACTCTCCTCATATCATCAGTAGATGCGGCAGAGCGGGCTTTCATAGTATGGGCTACATGCCTTTCTGCGACACTGAGACACTCCCAAAATAAATATTACGATCACTACATTATTTAGACAAGATAAAAAGTTTCTGGGCTGTAAAAATATAGCTCACGTTCAAGCATGAAAACTGAAAGCACAACCATGAAGTGAAGAAAGAATGAGGGAATATAGAGAATAACAGGAGTACCACATGGGTACTTTTTGTATGCTGGTTCACCCCCATCTGCCCTTATGTCAATAGACAAAAACCATCCGTTCAGTTATATATAAAAAAACCTTTACTGTCCCATTAAAAATCCCTCATTATTTTACATAAATCTTTATCTTATGGTTCACAGAAAAATATTTGTCCAAAAACATGGCTCGCTTCAAACTAAACATTCTCCACTGTTTGCACATGCTGCATCAATGTGGAGATGCGACCCATGGAACAGATGCCAAGAAGAAGAGGTTTTCCGAGTGTGATGTGAAGGTGTGGCAGTTGGACCATTATCACCTAGAAGACAAGCCTTGCACCTTCCGTCCTTCCTCCAACTTCCCCCCCAAAAAACATCACCACTAGTAAATTCATGCAGCGCCGCCTCACTTCCGTCAGTATTGCCGTCAGCGTGTCTTTCAGCATTTCACAACAAGCGTGACGCTAATGCGCAGCAGCGCAAAGACGCAGTTTGAGCGTGTCTGTCACTTCGGGCAGATCGGGGATCCACTAATGACAACGTCATGCGCAGGTCTCGTTTTCTAGGCTGTAATGGTTCAACTCCCGTTCTAGAGAAGGCTCGACGCCCAAAGGGACTCACGTGGTCGTCGGGAAGGCCCTCCGGACTGCCGCAGTCGTGAGAAATCACCATGTCTTCCAGGAACTGGTTGTACAAGGCCCTGGGCGGAAAAGAGACACTTGCTGCAGCTAGCGCCACTTGATAAGCTACACCCCAGAGTTACAACACTTCAGCCATCTTGGAGCTTACAATCACTGTAGCCAGTTGTCCGAAGCTTCACCTGAAATCGCGGGGAATGGTTTTCAGTCCTACGGAGATGTCAACACAGTCTGCGACGGAGTGAAACGACGTTGCCCCGGCTTCTTGACACTTGTGTCAAAAGCTCGGGAAGTCACATTTACGAAACGTAAAGATTATCAATTGCACCCGCCTTGCACCAAGCACCAGAATGGTGGTGCCTGCAAGAAAACCGGGGAATGAAGTGCCAAGATTCTAAGCGTAGCTCATTTCATGGCTCTAGCTGCGGCCAGAGAAGTTCAATTAATCGACATCGGGGAACCGTGATGATGGTTTGTCTAAATTTTTGTGCGAGCGAAGTCAAAGCTACGGGCAGGAGCAAGCTGCCCCAAACAACGCTCACACCGCATGAGCACGTGTGCACAGTTTAAACGCTGAAAGCCCGGAGCTTGCCCTCGTAGCGTCTGCTATGTTTGCATTTAAAGTGAAGCATAGTAAAATAAGATCAAAATGTACAAATTTATGAAGCTACAGGGTAGGGTCTGGTGCTTTACAGCTCTGCCAACCCATGCCGAACTCTCATGCATAAAATGCACCGAAAGGTTAAGGCATTTAAATGACCCTTGCCAAGCTCTTGGAAACAGGTCTTTTTAATAAAGGAAAAGCAGGCCAGACGAGCGTTCCGACGTTCAATCTAGATTCCAGACTTGTAGTACTTGTATGAACTATAGCTACTGACCTCACCAGCTGGATGAGATAAGGTTGTTCCTTTTGGCTATGGGCATAGCCTCCTCTGTTTTGACTAAGCCTGTGTATTCAGTGCTGGAACAATAGCCCAACTGGCAGCCATAAAAGAGGAAGGAGAAAGATAGACCACGAGCGCAGTGCTACTGAAAACACAGAAGCGAACTGAAAAAGAATTCAGTAGAAATACTGCACATTCCTATAAGCAGCGCCTTCCTACAAGCAGCGCGCCATGTGTTCCTATTGCACACGGCTCTGTGGCAGTGACATACCACTCCCCCACTGTGCAGGCACGGCCCCGAACCTTGCCGGCTTCACAACGACTTCTATGACGAAGCATTGCGTTGCAGTGTTTTTTTTTGTTTTTTTTTGTGTTTTATTTCTGAAGCGCGTCAGCTTTGACCTTGAGCACACCCGCCGGCTTCCGTGACGAGGCATCTGCATTGCTGTGCTTTTCTTTGTGTTTTATTTTTAAGGCCCGTCCGCTTTGAGCTCGAGCAGCCGCGCTAGCTTCGGTGACAATGTGGTTGCTATGTTGCGCCGCAGCTAATTTAGGTGCCGTTTTTTATGGTTACGGGTTTTTAGGTGCCGTTTTTTGCGGTTACAGACGCCGCCGGCTCCTTTTCATGGGACAGTTAATGCTTTCGCATTAAAACGGAACCCTTCCCTCCCTTGCGGAGGGGATGTGAAGGGGGAACGGAACTGGTGGAGACGGGGGAGTGAAGCCGATAAGATGTGGTAATGGCACGAGAGTGCCTGGGGAAGGAGGCTAAGCCGTAGAAAAACTCAAACCCGCCACTGTGTGTTCTGTGGCACTCTCTGCCAGCTTTGCTTCGTCTCTCTCTCCCAGGTTTGCCGACCAGCTCTAGAGCTGAACTCACAGGCTTGGTCAGTGTACGAGAAGCTATGCTACACCTTTTGCAATAATGATTATAGGTAGTAGGCCTTTTTAAACTTCATGGGTTGCCAAGAGCACCCCAACTTGAGAACTCAACATCACAATAGCTCCACATGCTTAGCCAATGGCTAGAGGCCTCAGGTACAAAAATAAATAAAAACACTGAAAGAAACTAAAAGAAAAGATATTTATCATTAAAAATACCCTAATGTCATAAAGGGCCCGTTTAGTTTTAGAAAAATCAATGTGAATTACATATCATACAATTAAAAAAAGCAATAAAAAAAGCAAACAGGCATGTACAGTCTCCGGCGATATGAAAGACCCACTGGGAGCGCGTGGCCGAGGCGGTGGCTGGCGGGGGAGCTGCGAGCGCTCCGGGCAATTCCATTCTGCTTCGAGGGGAGGACGCTCACTCGTGGCTCAGCACAAACTGATAAGCGCACGCTTTAGCTGAGCCCCGAGTGAGCGTCCTCCCCTCGAAGCAGAATGGAATTGTCCGGAGCGCTCGCAGCGCCCCCGCCAGCCACCGCCTCGGCCACGCGCTCCCAGTGGGTCTTTCATATCGCCGGAGACTGTACCAGAAGAATTTTATTTTCCCATTCTCATCTGTCAATTTTCTGAAAAATTTAGGTTGTCTTTTACAAAGCAAATTTTAAGCTCCAGATAATAAAAAAAAACTTTCAGCCTCTCCACTCTAGTGAAGGAAAAAGCGAAGCTGTACTATGGTGGGAAGAACTCAAGGACAACGCCTAGAGGATGACGTCTAGGACGACCTCAAGGATGACTTCTAGGACGACGTCTAGGACGACCTCAGGGACGACGCCTAGGACGACCTCAGGGACGACGCCTAGGATGACCTCAAGGACGACGTTTAGAAAGACCTCAAGGACGACTTCTAGGACGACCTCAAGAACAATGTCTAGGAAGACCTCAAGGACGACTTCTAGGATGATCTCGAGGACGACCTCGAGGAGGACGTCTAGGACAACCTCAAGAATGACTTCTAGGAAGGCCTTGAGGAAAGCCTCCTGGACGACCTCAAGGACGACGTCTAGGAAAAACTCAAGGACGACGTCTAAAACTACCTCGAGGACGACTTCTAGGACGACGCCTAGAGAAATTAAACTTTTCCACTCTTGGAACAAAAACTATTTTGCAAAAAAATATTTACCAAGTTATGGGAACAAACCTCAAAGACAATACAACAAAATCTTTTTATGTGTGGCCTTCAGCTATCCCTTGTTACCAAATTACTCCTCTGCAGCTACACCCACAGCTCAAGTGTGCCGCAAGAAACATGTGAGCTACACAATTCTTTTTCTTTCATTTTTACACACATGTTGCTTAGTGTCATGGAAAGATGATATATCCACTAAGAAAAAGAACTAGCCACCTACACATACTCCTCCTATCCTTTCAAAGATGGCTGAAGTGACATAAAAGAAAAATGATGGCCATGGAAAGTTCAGTGCACTACTATGTACAGAGGCAAAGCACTTCTCACAGCTGAAAACTGGTGCATGCGTATCCATCAGAATTCCTTTTCCTTAACCTCACGAGACTATGTCAATAAAGCAGTTTTCATTCACAGGTATTGTTGATGCCGTTTCATTGATCTCAAATGCTTTACAACCCCTCTCGAAAATACTGGCTGTTAAACGCAAAACAAACAATTCATGCGAGCTTTTAAAGAGATACTGAACTGAAATGTGGAGCTCACAAAATAATGCTGGAGCGACAGGTGAGAAGCTGCAAAACCGAAAAACATTCCTCATACAGCAAAATCTCTAACAACATATTCAGTTTATTTGTTTAAAAAATGTTTTGGCACCTTTTCGAACAAACAATTGGTGTCTCCGTGGTCTGGCCAGAACATGGTTGACATTTAGACAATAAAATAGGCACTAGTGCTTCGTTGCAGTGTCCCTTTAAGATGGCTTGATAAATTTGAATAGTGAAGATGTGTTTGAAATTGAATCAAGTACCAAAGGCATTTTGAATCAGATTTCTAATTCAACTACACAAAATATACAACAGCCGGTGTATTTCTTAAAAACAAAATGCATTAGTGTTTCCTTCAAAGCCAGAAATTGTTTTGTCAGAAGCAAGTGTATCAATAGCGTCATGAGTAGCCACATGGGTAGTATCTTGTTACCTTCATGAGCCAAACTGGGACGAGAGGGAAGAATATGTCTCTTTAGGCCTGTCCTTCTGACTTTGTTCTTCTGGGCTAAATGTATTCCTATTAATATTATTATTATTAGCCTCCGAAAAAAATAGATTATTGACAGATTACCAACCTATACTGTCGACGACTTGATCATTTTACAAATTTGGTGCCTATTTGGTGATATTGCCTAAAATTGATCACGTGAACATACCACCTCACGGTAACGAATACGTAAAATATCAGTCGGAGTCGGGAATATATGTGCATGTGAAATAGTCCCAAAACCCACATTTTGCAAAATTTGTGAAATATCGAGCCTGCAAAAATAAAATGTTTACAGTAGGTGGTACTTGGAGCAGCCAGAGTTCAGCCAATCCACAAGGCTCAGCAAACAAACCAACCTCTGCTTCTTGAGGACTTGCGGCCAGTCCAGGGTGTTGGCTGGCAGGTAGCCCAGTAGCAGCTAAAACAAGAGTACCCAGGGTCAGAGCTCAGGGTGGACCAAACACCCAGGGTCAACATATGTTCACAAAACAGCAAAAATCCTAAACTTCCGCTCCCTGCCTGCAGTGAAAGCGTCGGATCAGCGTCGAGATCAACCAACTGTATGAAGCTTTACAGCACGAAGCTGAGCACGCTCGCAAGCACGGTGGCAAGAATCTGTCACAAAATTTAAAAAGATCTAAATAAAATAGATAAGATAACATAGAGAAAATTAAGTGGAGTGCTTCAGAGTATTAACAAATGAACTACAGTGAGCAACAGGTTAAAAGACCACCCACAAGCCTGTGTTTGCTTAGAACTGATCTCTTGCAATCTCTTACGACGAAAAAATGCACTGTCGCCCAGGTGCCATTTGAGAGGTGACCCTGGAAATGCATTTTACTAGAGCAAATGTTTTGGTTTATGCAAGATCAAATGTGTGTACTATTAATTGAGAAATGGCCATCAATAACATTGTAGAAATGTTTTGAAGCCAAAAAAAAAAAAAGAAGAATGAGCAAAAAAAAAAAGGCAATTATATGAAACTTGAAAGTGTTTCACGACAGGCTTAGGCAGTATCGCAAAACAAATGCATGGCGATAGTATTTTAGAGATACATTATGTATTTATATTTCTGTATCACAATAGTACAATTTTTCAACAGTATTTTGTATTTCTGCTTCGAAATACATTTTTGGGTGTATTCCTGGTATCATGATACTATCAGGGCTGATGTATTTTGTTACAATTTTAAAAGAGTTGTTGACCTCCATGCAGGAGCTCAAGACTAAGTTTTGTCAGGGACGTTTTGTGTCTCTGACCACGCATAACTTTCTTCTTTATTGTGCAAAAGTTAACGAATGTCTTCCCACACTTTAGGTGGTAGACTATTCCAGTCGATTTTAAAAGTTAAAGGCTCTGTCGGCACGCCAGACTAACATAAAAAATTGTAGAGCCATTCCACTCTGTGAAGGTGGTTACCCAGCGAAGCTGTAACGACACCTACAACGATTTACCCAATGCTACATGGCGCACACTTTCTATTTACTTTGTAACGACATTAACAACTGCTTTATGATCAGAGTGATACACCCTAAGATTTTCAGTTCTCACTCTAGAGTGATTCTTAGCTAAAGTTAAATCAATGCATGATGCATGAATGGTAGTAGGTTGAGTTACATTGCTGAAGCATATGAGTGAAAACTTTCCCATGACAAATTGGTTTCAAAATGTCAACATTAAGGTACCCGACAATTATTACTGGCGTGGCTCGATCCATTGACAGTGAGGAGAAGTGCGTTTGCATGAAGCACTATGTCACATTTGGGTGTATTCGGTTAGATGTAGACTATGAAAATTATGATTCCATCGCTAGTTTTGATGGAACACACATCCCCGCAGTCGGCTTGGTCATATTGGGGTTCATACGGCTGGACACAAGCTTCATCCCTTGCGTAGGTTGCAACGCCTGCCACACGGTTGTCGTCTCGCTTCGCCCACGCTATTCCAGTGTATCCAGTTACTTGGCATAACGAGTCACACGATTGAAACCGTGATCTATACCGGGAAACGCATGCTCATGTGCCGCATTGTTCACAGGTGCCTTATCATCCATCATGTGGTTTTGATGCTTGTTTTGCCATTTTTTTTTTTTCCTTTATTGATATGAATACTGCACTCTATGCTGTATGGCCTTGGAGTTTTTTGTTGACAACGACACAAAAGAAACCATGGCGGGGAAGAGGTATATAGATTAGCCGTAAAAGATACATGTTCCATGAACTTCCTTCCACGGTGACGTTTTAAGGTCACAGTAGCAAAATAATTTGTTAGCCTAGTTGGTTAAACATCACGAAAATAGAAAACGCAAAAGACAAGGACAAGTAGAAGACTACACAGAACAAGCACTTCCACTTGCCCTTGTCATTAGAGCTTTCTATTTTCATGATTTTAAGGTCACCACTAAAAGAAGCGTCCAGATTGGACATAATCATAGCAACTTCTCAAGGATATCTGGGAAGACACAAAACTGATTTAGATATCCTGGGATTGTCTAAGATAAAAGAAGCCGAAATAAAACGGCGCTTGAGCCACGGTGAAAAAAATTGCTTGCTTTCCTTACTACTCCCCAAAATACAAGATGTTTATTCTACAGTAAATTTGATTCCAGCTTAATTCAGGCTCCAACATGCAGTGAGAACTCGCTTGCTGGTTTAAAAACAAAACCTTGTATTCGAAAATAATGTTTCATAAAACTAAATTCCAGTGCCTGTATTTCAGCCCCACCACAATGTATTCCTGTAGTATTTACATTTCCAAATACTTTTCTATGTTTCAAAAGCATTTCTGATATGTATTGCAACATATTTTTATAAATGTATTTTAGTATCAGTATTTTAGCTGTTTTTGCCATGGATCCCAGTATTTGTATTTACAAATACTTTCGTGAGTATTTCTGCCCAACCATGCTCATCGGTTACTCTATAGATAGCGCCCAGTGTGTTCGTTCGTCGTAACAGATTCCGAGAGGTTTTAAGGCACTTGGTCTTAAGCGGTCGCAAGTGTGTGAACCAGCCTTCGATGGTGCAGGTCAAGCTCCTCCCACAAAGCCTTTCACTCTCTCCACTTTAGCCCAGCGAACACGGGAGAGAAGGCAAACTTCTCCTCGCTTCCTCTCCACCATTTGCTCTGCTAAAGTGGAGAGAGTGAAGGGCTTTGCGGGAGGAGATCGTCCTGCACTCTTCGCCCGTCACCAACCATAGAGCACAACCTCATTCTGTTTTTCGGCAATAGACGACACAATGCACGAGTCAAGAAAATGCGATGACGTATCACGCTCTCGGCGGGTCAACGAATAAAACTGAGAGTGACTCCTGTGCAGCAACTCGTTCCATGCGCAGGGGAGCCAAACACTCACCCGCCAGCAGATGGGGCGAAAGCCGCTGTCGTCCGGAATGCCTGAAACAGACAGGGCGGGCTTAAAGGGGCATTAAAGCAGTTTTGACACTGGAGGCGTTACGTGGCTCTGACGGTCGGTGACGGGTTAAGAGCCTTGCAGATGACCTGCTTCGAGTGCAAGCTTTCTGCTTTTGACAACACTTCGTCACACGCCCCGCCAACGCCTGGCAGAAGGTGACGAGCACGTTGGGTTCTTCAAGGGGTATTCAAGTGGATTCTGGGATTGTCTATGTATGGTGATAACTCAATCTAGGGGCTCTAAGCATCTTAAGAAACCCGAAATTACACTCGTGGGTGGCCAATTTCTCTGTTAAAATCTAATGAAACATCCTGACCATGCCCGGCCCCTCCCCTTTCTGCGCCCCGGAGCAGACACCAGGAAGCACCGTCAGATGGCGTTTTCAAACAGTGACTGCTGTATTACGTTTCCTACCATCTGAAGATTTGACTTTTTTTTTTTCAAAATGTAATGCACAACGCGTCTAAAACAAGCAATAATAGTAAGGTTTAAAATTTCCATGCAATTAACTATTTTTATTGGTCAAATTTTATGGAGGTGGTGGGGACCCTAAGATGGCCCCCCAAGAGAAAATAGAGGCCCTGTATTTCTATTGCTGCGAGTTTACTAGAACTTCTCGCCATCTAGAACTGGTCAGTTTTATTGACTAAAGCCCAACAAACGATAGGCCATTGAAAACAAGCTTCTACAAAAGGCCCTTGAGTGCCACTTTGACTTGTCAGCGACAATAGCAGTTTGCAGTTATGCACTTCTACAATGGAAGAGCGTTACAGGAGGGCTGGCAGTGCACTTGCTGATGGAACTCAAGTCCCAGCTGCATGCCCATGCAACACGTAACCGCGACCCCGTACTGACGCCCTGCAGGATATGTAGAAGATCTAGCAGCACAGCCTTCTCGTCTAGGAGGCGTCAAGCGAGCAAGCTCGCACATACGGTGCGAGGGTGTGCAGGAGGCAAGGCAGAAGAGAAGGAGCGTGCGATTCGAATAAAAGTGGGAAGGCGTAGAACGGCGGGATCAAAGCTGGAGTAGGCAGCTGCAAGAGTCGTGAAATTCGCGCCACCCTGGAGCGCTAACTTTGGCGGGGTTTCTTTCCAGAGACGCCACACACGATGACGTTTGTGCCGTCAAGGCACAAAATGCATCTCAAGTCCGTCTGTGCAACATCACTACAAAGCCGGACACAGTACAATCTACAAAAGAGTAAATTACTTTTGTTTCGGGTGGAAGTCAATTTACTCTTTCGTATATCTTCTCCACCTTCGAAAGTTCCCCCAAATTGTTCTATCTTAGTACAACCTTTGTTTCAAATGCGATAGAATTTCTGAGCGAACCCTACGCACATTCGCATTTGAATTTCAGTTTGTACAAATGAGGCAGGCAGCAGTCATCTGCTATATATCTATTGTAAAACCATAGAGAGTCCGCCCATTCTATAAGCGGACACCCGTCAGTTTTGCAACATTCAAAAAGATACATAAAGGACATATCTCTACATATTGTTGACCTAAGGAGTGCCCATCTACCAGTTTTACACGATTATATCAAAATTTTGAGTGGGCGCTTGCTTGGGATTTTATGGCACTTCGATTGTGCATATAGGGGGCAATGCATCCATGGATGTAATATGAAATATTAGCTTTTGTATGGCCAATATAGTTTACCAAGGGTCTTATTATGACTGTGGACTCGTCAAGCTGCAATGCTGTAGCTTTTTTCCACAGCTCCTTCATCTTCTTTGTACAAGGTGAAAAATAAACTGATTTGATTTGATTTGATTTATATTTACATTAATTCACCACTCACCTTGGAAGCATAGTCTACGCAGTAGCTGCAGGTCAATATTTTCGGACTCCAAGACTTCATGAAGCCCCTGCACCCTGCGAGAGACACAGTAAACTGAGCACCTGCTCTAAAAATAGACCAATAGGAAAGAAATCGTAAAATTTTGTTTTCGTAGATTCACGTGACCATATTTACATGGTCACCCCAAGTATCCTTGGGAAATGAGTCCTATTTGTCCTAAAATGTAGATCTTGAATTTTAGTAAAAGAAGTCTGCTAATGTTTTCTCGTTTTGTTTTGTGAAAATGAATTTTTTACACTTAGCTATTTTACTTCTCTTGAGAACAAGCAATCTTCATAGCTGTTTCCTTTTTCTGGTGGGTGTTTCAGCAAGGTATCCAATGAAAGCCATAAAAACTTCACATATGGCATTAGTATTATTATTGTTCAATTACTTAAATATTTAATTACAACATTACCCTTGGTTTCTCAGTTAAAGTAAATTATTGCATTTCATAGAAATTCTAGTTTACAGATTTATTTATTTCCGGGTCTTATATTTTTATATATTCATTAGAACCATTGCACTTGCAATGGTTTTAATCTTGGAAGTGAAACTTTGAATATCAGCAAGACCAAACCAGTTACATATTAAAATGAAGTTAGCATCTGTACTCAAATTATAGAGGTACTTTCCTAATGACCGTTTGCGGAAACACGGAAACATATAGCATCGTGTGATATCTGATAATGAATGACGTAGTTGAGAACTGCGCCATTCAGGTGCTCCAATAGGATTCAATGCCATGTGCTCCTCTGTTCCTGCTAACTGTTAATAAGATAGTACATACGCTACGAAAATTTCACTGTGAGCCACAAACTCAAAAAAGCTCTAGAAAGTGTTTCTCTTCCACAGTCCCCTCAGCACTGCACCAATGCAACAACCTCTAACCCCTACTCTAAGGGTTCTCCAAATGTTGGCTTCTACGCCCTGTTTCACACAGCATGGGGAGATATGCCCTTGTCACAAATGTATTGTTCGTGGCAAAAATAAGCTGATTTGATTTTGTTTGATTTGAGATATGCATTTATAAGTAAACTTAAAACCAGCCACCTCCCCCAATTTGTATTGTTTTATTGTAAGCGCTCGGCCACAACTCATTAAAAGTTGTGAGCTCACCCTTCAACGAGCGATATATGACTGGAGTGAATTTAGTGAGCTGAAAAGTTCATTTTCAGGATTTTCGGGGTATAGATCAATAAGGCAAATATAACCAAAGCATCCAAAGCAGTCTACAATAACAAGGAACATTGATCAGCCCCATTTTAAACCATGATGTGGCACGTAGAAAAACAATGCACTAGTATACATGTAAACACAGATGATGAACCCACCAATATAATGTGGTACTGGAACACAGGTGGCTCTTCGGAAAGCATTCACAAAACAGCGCAAAAGGCGAGGGAAAAGCATAAGAAACAAACATATGAGGAACTGACTTGCAACAAAAACACGAACCTGAAAAACTGCAACCAATTCACTGCACCAATGTTATCGACCATTTGCTTGACACTGACCAGGAAACACTAGCTTGCATTCATACATGCAGCTGATGCAGAATTGATGCACGTGCTCTCATGCTCTGTAAAATGTAAAAAGCTTCCAAAATTTCCTTCTTCCTCTGGCTCCCATGCCACATCATAATCTCAGAGTCAGCTAAACGTGGGTTACACTTATTTCAGTTGAAATAAATCGCCAAATGTCCTGAAGTGCTTCTTGCAGAGTGTCTAGCAAATCATTATTTTGATATTCCCTGACTTTTCCAGGTTTTCCCTGACAGTTTCAGGTGAAATTCCCTGACCACTGTAGAGGCAGCTAAGTATATAAGACCATTACAACACGAGGCATTGAGCAGTGAGCACTGTGATCATCATTTTGCAAGGGCTTAATCCAACTTGTATATTCCGAAATATTCGGGTTTGTTCAGTACGGATTAAACAAGCACTTTCTTGCCACCGACATCGTCAGTGAAGAGGCCTCTTCCGAAAACACGATGAGAACACGACGCTCAACCACACACGTCAATAACCAAATGGCAGCATGGCCGCCAGGCACACTTTCGGCTTAAGGCTTGGATTGTTTTGGGGTCTGCGGCTTTCCCATTTGCAACTAAATCTAGTAGCTCTAACTGGATCTAGCCTAGCGTCGTGCCCTCAATCCAATTCAAACCAATCCAAGGCTTGGACTGGATTTGTCGCCTCATCCCTTTGCATTGGGCAGCACACTCTACATCGGGTGAGCAGAGCCCGTACAACGCTCTAAGCAGAATTTATTGCCTATTCTTTCGTCCCCAAGCCCCCAAGTCTTTGCTCAGGGCACTCAATGGCGTATGCGGCCCATTTTCCCTGACAGGGCTTTCTTTTTGACAATATCTCTGACAATTCCCAGATTTTGTCCCGGTAATTAAAATTTCCCTGACAATTCCCGGTTTTCCCGGTCGCTAGACACCCTGTTCTTGAGTTACAAAGTCTGATGCAAATTGTGATTTATCTGAGAGATGTTAAAGCAGCTTTTGAAGCAGCGACAAGTACTTTTAGAGCATAAGCCCATAATTTATTTGCGAGTATCAGGCTAAGATTTATGTGTTTACTGTAAAATACCACGAAAGTGCTTACTTCGCTCAAGTGACCACTATTAACAGTTCCTAAACTTGGGAATGCTGCAAATTATATGTTAACGGACAAGTGCCCATGTCTAGATTAACCCCGTTTTCAGTGAAAGTGGGCTGGGCACTCCCTCATTATGGCACGGTATATTCATTGGGGCTCCCTGTTAATGAGCAAGCTTTTGATGGCACTAAGAGCATGGCAAGTTTGATTCCCTCACTAGCAGTTTAATAGCACATAGAAGTACAAGGCACAGTAAAACAAGATGCTCATTGATGAAGGGAAGTACAAACTGCTCTGCATGATTATTTTACGTAAGAAATCAAATGTAAACAAAATAGTATAGTCCACTGAAATAATGCCGGAATATAATAATTCCTTGCAGCCCAATTCATGTTTTCTTCAAGTTTCAGAAATTGTAATACTTTCGCCATTTGATTAAGAATGTCAATGACATTTTGTAAGCAGAACTTCATAACAACAAAAATCAGCATGCAAAACAATATGTACAAAAAAAAAAGAAAAAAATCTTGCCGAACCTGTCTAGGTTATTTCCAGGCTTGCATTTACTGCTCCAGCAGATTTCGTTTTAATTTTCTGTATTCACTGTGTCATCATGTGGATGAAACCTATATAAAGTTAATACCTAAACAAAAATTGACAAAAAAAAAAAAAGCAGAACAGTTTATAAGAGTACTTTTGCAATACCGTATTTTCCGGGCTATAGTCTGCGGACTATACATGTCTAAAAGTTGAAATTTCTAGCTGTGCGGACTATCTACGCGTGCGGACTATACAGGAATTATGTTTTTCAAGATTGTTTATTATGACGAGACGTGACGAATTTTGTGCACGAAAGTATATGTGTATGATGATTTATGCACATTATAGGCTTTATTGTGAGCTAAAAAGCAGACATTTGTAAACGTGTGCCGTCTATGAGAAGATTTTCGTGTCGACTAAGCACGAGGTGCGGACTATGCACCGGGTGCAGGCTATCTAAGCAAAATCTTTTATTTTTGACCCCAAATTTCCCCCTGCGGACTATACACCGGGTACGGTACTTAAGTATCCTTGATGAAACTTGCATGTGAAAAGATATTGTCAGAACATTGCTTTCATATATACTAGCCGCTTCTTTTCAGAAACCGTGTGTAATGTCCCACTTTGGGAAGTGCTTTTTCCTTAGCATTCTCCTCCCCTCTTTAATGTTCTTAATGCTCTCCCTTTCTCTCCTCGCCCTCCTCTCCCGTGCCCCCTTTCTAGTGCTTGCCCCTTCCCTCCTCACCTGGTGCTGCCTTTGCCTGCACGGCAAACAACTAGTGACACAAAGTATAGCAGTTGTCGCTCCACTGCAGTGAGCAATGACAAGTGTGTTTGACGACGACGACAATGAGTGAGAGAAATATTGTGAAACTTCTGAGCACCATTGTTTTATAGAGATCAAATTGAATGGGATGTATTTAAAGTGATAATAGAAAGTTTTAGAAATTCGCACCAGTGTTGTGTGCGATTTGTTCACTTTAGCTACATGACATTTTTTTTTTTTTTTGCACTGTCTTTTTTGTGCCACGCATCAACAACTCGTACAAGTTTTTACAACTCTATTGCATTTTAGAACACAGCCAGGGGAGGGCGGCTTATGGAGTTTCATTTCCCCCCATGCCTCCCCCCCCCCCTTCCCCGAAATCCAGATGACCTTATAATATACACATGTATTTTGACCCCCTCCCCCTCTCTGCACCCTAAGTCATGGACATAACAGTCACCTCAGCACCACAGCCAGGCAGCCCCGCACCCCCCACCCCCTCCCCACCCCCCCTTCCCGGACAAATATTCCTGGCTACACCACTGCTTTTCGCACGCACCTTCATGAACACCTAACGCCTCAATAATTATGCACAACAGGTATGTTATAGAGAAGTCAAACCCTTGAATCTGCAAAATTCGACTAAAAAAAGTTTAAATCCGCCGCACCAATCCGCAGCCCTGGTGCAGCGAAGCTGGCAGGAAGGTTTTTTTTCTTTTTTTCTGGGGCGGTTGTTGCGGCGCGTTGTGTTCGCAAAACAAACAGGCTACACTTCTTTTCCCTCCCACTGAGCGCTGCAGTGTCGCAACGACCACCAGAACGGTTCATTGCGGTCAAGCGACGTAGTAATTCGTTCAAAATATGTGCCAATGCCAGCCATTTCAGAGCCCCTCCGGGCACAAGCGTTTAATCCACCTCATATGGTAGACACATTCGATCGATTCACTGCTCGCCAGTCAATACTCAACAGTTTTCGCGCGTGACTTGGTCGCCAACCCGTAGACATGCGTCCGAAAAACAGCGGGCAAAAACGCCCCTCGACTCGAGGTCTCACATGACTGGAGGCGCAAGCAGCGTGCCTCCAAGATCCAAGAAACAGAGAGAGGGACGCCTGTGCCGTCCAATGCGCCCGGAGGAACAGCGTGCGAACTAACCTTTCTTTATACACGGACATTTTCGGAAACGGTGACATCCGTCATGACATCCACGGGGGAAACGTGCGGGTAGCTGGACACTCCGAAGGGGAAGCACATACACCGCGGCGACACGCCGCCATTTTCCCGAAACAGCTGGATGATGGTTCGCAATTTCGGAACACCGCAATGAAGTCACCGTTAATTTTAGCTCCTTATTTTTATAATATTTATAATTGAAGTAATTAATATTGTATAACAATATGTGTTTAAATATAAAACTAATTTTAAAAAAAAGAAAAAAAAGATACGTGGCGATGGTCAAGTCCTAAACAATCTTCAGCAGCCGCATAGATCCAATCCAATCCAGTATTGTAAAAATGGCTGACGTACAGCTGAACGTCAACGATGAGGGGGTCTCCCAAAACAACCCCCTAACTCGAAAACTGAACAAGCTACTCGAAGTGCGCCTCGACAACGACCGAGAGACCCTGGAGGCCCTCAAGTCTCTGTCGGAGTTCTTCACAGAAAACAACATCCGCACCCGGCGCAACCTTCGCGGCGACCTGGAAAAGCGGAGCCTGGCTATCAACGAACAGTTCCTGCAGTCGTTCGGGGACGTGAAGGCATCTCTCGATGCCCTGTGCACGGACATGAGCGCCATGAGCACGGCCTGCCAGGGTATGATGGCACGGCTGCAGGCCACCCGCTCCCAGACAGACACGCTCATGAGCCGCAGCGCCGCGCTCCGAGCCCAAGCGCAGAGACTCGACGAGCGGCAGAAGCTCGCCGGCGCCTTCCTGCATGCCTTTCAGCTGACCCCCGACGAGCTGCAGGCGCTGCGGACGGGCAGCCCGGGCGACGACCGCTTTTTCGACGCGCTCTCGAGAGCGGGGCGCATTCACGCCGACTGCAAGCTCCTGTTGCGCACGAGCCAGGCGGCCGCCGGCATACAGCTGATGGAGGCCATGGCAGCGCATCGCGAGACCGCGTACGAGCGACTCTACCGCTGGCTGCAGGCCCAGTGGCGCGCTTCCGGCGCCGACGAAGCAGCGCCGCTGGCCAGGGCGCTGACGTCCCTGCGCGAACGGCCCGTGCTGTGGGGCTACGCGCTGGACGAGCTCGCCAACGCGCGCCGCGCCTGCGTGGTGCGGCGTTTCATCGACGCCCTGGGTCCCATGGAAGCGCGCTCGAGGGACCCCCTGCGCTACGTGGCCGACATGCTGACCTGGGTGCACGAGTGCGCGGTCGGGGAACGCCAACTCTTGGGGCAGCTGCTCGGAGACGCCGCCGGGGACGCCGACGCGCTGCTGGGCCGCATCACGCAGGGCCTCTGCGGGCCGCTGCGGCTGCGCGTAGAGCAGGTGGCCGTGGGGCCCGCGGGGCCGCTGATGCTGCATCGGCTGCGCGAGCTCCTGCGGTTCTACCGAGACCTGTCGCTGGGACCCCTGGCGGCGTGCCTGGCAGACCTGGCAACCCTGGCGGACCGCATGCTGGCCAACAGCCTCACATGCCACTGCGGACAGCTGCTGGACAAGGTAGGGGCGTCGACACACCCTGGCGGTGACAACAAAGATTTCCCATGTGGGGTTTTTTGCACGTAGCGAACCTTGCGCTTATGGTGCCTGGGACGTGTCTCTGACCGGTGCGTTTGCTGCATCCTCATTTGCGGTCCCTCGGTTTCCCCTGGATGACGTCGAACTTGTGTCGAATTGTTGCCTGCCACAATCCAGACGGTGGCACAGCAGCAGAGTTGGATGTGGCAGATGCCTGTTCTGTTGGAAGTCTCTCTCCAGCATGGTAGCCAAGGTGGCAGTCAGCATATCCTACACAAGCTTCATCCTTTTGATCGTTTAAGTCCTCTGCCCTACAGAAGTTTGAGCCAATAAAAAACCTTTGAATTCACGGAGGCTTTGGCAGTCTGGAGTTGGGATGCTGCAAAAACAGCGACACTGACATTTACTCTTTTTTTTTTCGCCGCAGCTTCATGATTAGTTGTCAAGAATGCAACATATGACAGCGTGACATGCTGGCTCCTCTGGCGAATTTTTGGCCACTTCGGAACCACTTTCGATGCAACTCAGAGTAGCCAACCGAGGCAGGCCGCCTTGGTTAACCTCTCTGTTTTCTCCTCCTGCCCTTACCTTCTTCTACACGCCAGTCAAAGATGCATTCCAGGTATAGTAGTAGTGCTGTCATGGTGTCAAGGCTGCCCGGTCTGGAATCTTTGTGTCATGCCATGGGAAGTTTCCTCTAGGGAGACGTTGGAAACACCAGAGGCATGCATTAGAAGTTAACCAACTGGGTCGCTCGAAGAACCTAATGGACGGACCTGGGTTCGGAGAAGCCATTGTGGAGAAAGCCGCTGGATGCATCTACTTTCGATTCATCATACCCGAGAGACCTGTCAAAAAGTTGGACAATTGGAAATGCCATAAATATTTGGGACGTAGGGGTCATAGTATCTCAGAATAATTGAAAGGCCATATGAAAGGCGCCACATTTGAATTATCACAATCTAAAAAAAGATGTATTGTTTCTCATTTCTTTTTTTACTTTATTTGTACTTTGACATGCATGAATGCCACTTGTGGTGCCAAAATTTTTTTGTGTAGAAATTACTGAAGTTTCCAGACCAGTAAGTATTTTTTGCTAAGGACCATGTTACCGATTCATTATCAAACAACACAAAGGGTACAGGGACGAGAGAAGACACGTCTTTTGTCCTTGATTTTTGTGCGCTCTGTTTATGATGAATTTTTAATGCCTTTTGTACCTGTGCAGGGGGAGCTTCCGCCTGGCGACCTAGGTGCGCCCGAGAGCCTCCGGCGCCTGCTGTCCCTTGTGCGGGAGATGCTGTCCTGTGGGGACGGGCGCCTGGCCCCCCTGCCACAGCGCCAGCTGGACGTGCCCGCCCTGCTGCAGCAGGTGGGCTGCCCCTGCAGGCACCTCTCAGAGGGAGCAGGGCACCGTGAGATGCGCCCACTCAAAAGTCAGAGATGATCACGAAAGAATTGAGGTCTGGAGATAATTATGATAGGGTGGGAATTTCGAGATAATGACAAAAGAGGGGATTCAGAAATCATGAAAGAATGAGAATTTAGAGATAATCACTAAAGAATGGAGGTCTAGAGGTAATCACGAAAAAGTGGGAATTTCGAGATGATCATGAAGGAAAAGATTAAGAAACTATCATGAAAGTATGAGGATTTAGAGATAATCATGAAACAGGGAAATTCGAGATAAGCACAAAAGGAAGACTCGGAAATGATCACAAAGAAATGGTGATTTAGAGATAATCACGAAAGAATTGAGGTCTGGGGATAATTACAGAAGAGGGAATTTCGAGATGATCATGAAAGAGAAGATTCAGAAATTATCACAAAAGAATGAGGATTTAGAGATAATCACGAAAGAGGGAATTTAGAGATAAGCACAAAAGGAGGATTTAGAAATGATCACTAAAGAATGGGGATTTGGAGATAATCACGAAATGATGGAGGTCTGGAGATAATCGCAAAAGGGGAATTCAGAAATTATCACAAAAGAGTGGAGATGTGGAGATAATAATGGAGGAATGGTGGTTTGGATATAATCACGAAAGAGTGCGGATTCAGAAACGATCACAGAAGTTAGACATGAGGAAGATACATCGAAAGGGGGACGGACAACGAAGTCTTTGTTGTCCGTCCTCCCTTTCTATGTATCTTCCTCATGTCTAATTACCGTTACCAACACGTTCGTTTTGTTCTTGATCACAGAAGAGTGGGGACTTAGAAAAATCATGAAAGAATGGGGATTTGGAGCTCACAAAATAAGGAAGGTTTGAAGATAATCATTAAGGAATGGAATTCCTTGGTAGCCACAAAATAATTGGGATTTAGAGGTTATCAAAGAAGAGTGGGTGTTCAGAAATGATTGCGAAATAATGAGAATTTGGAGATAATCACTAAAGAATGATAATTTTAAAATAATCACGAGGGAATGGGGATTCAGAGATTGTCACAAAAGAATTGTGATTAGGAGAGTATCACGGAAGATTGGGAATTCAGAAATTATCACGAAAGAATTGGGATTTGGAAATGATCACGAAAGAATGGGGGCTTGGAGATAATCGCGAAAGAAAAATAGATTGGAGGTAATCACTAAAGAGGAAATTTGCAACTGGCAATAAAGAAAATGGGGATTTCAAAGTAATTGCAAAAGAATGGAGGTTTGGAGATAGCCACGAAAAAAAATGGGGATCATGAAAAAATAAAAAAATATAGAAATAATTACAAAAAAAAAATTGGGAAGGGTGCTTGTTCTATTTGAGGGCAGAAGGGGGGATCAAAGCATGGTAGGCCCTCGCTAGGCCCTCGTCTGAGCTGACCCAACGGCATAGGAGATGTACAGTTGTCTGGCAGAACCCCTATTTTTAATAGTCACAGCACTTTTATTAAGCTTTACTGCCTTGCACCAGGTGCTTAAAGAAGCAGCTGAGCATGAGGAGAATTTCTAGGTTAGCTCATTGGGCTTGGATGTTAGCTGGGAGGTGGGTGGCACTTCCCATGTCCTTTGCTTATTGTCTAAAAAGTAGAGGGTAGGCACTTGTTGCAAATTGGGCACATGCTTGGTATCTTACGGTAGTGCAACTTTTGTATTCTCTGTCCTGAAAAGATGGTAGAGTTTATAGGATAAAACTGGAGGTACAGGTTCAAAACCTACGGCGAGACTAGTTTGATGAAAGTGACTCCGGGGTCACTTCAGAGAGTTTTTTTTTTGGAAAATACCGAAAACATGGAACCTTAATTATAACACCAGTAAAAGTGGGGTATATACACAATCATCCTTGTTTGTCTCCTTGGTGGCTTTGACAGAAAGTGTGCTAGCCTACAGGTCCCCAGTCAGCTGCCTTATTGAAATCCTGGCCAAGGTGCCCATACGAGTGTCCCAGAGTGGGCTGTTTTTTTTTGGGGGGTGCAAATGTTGTTGCTGCAGTGTGATTGAGTCAACTGCTTCCGTGGGTGGCAGGGGATTGGTTCCCCGAGCACACCACGAAAGGTTAGATAGATGGGTTCATGCTCTGCGGAAGCATGCAACATCTTTTTCGGATGCTCCTACATCATATGCGTCGTATTCCCTGTCCATGAATCTAATACTGGGTGGTTGTGATGAGAAATTTTGTGACCTTGCCGAGGTACGAATTTGACCAGGTTTGACTCTCCCTGATTTTCGATGCAAAGTTTGATTAAAGTTCGACTGTTATGCGCATGCACGGAAATTGAAGACACACTCATGCTGCCTAGCAGAGGAGCAGTGAAGCATTTATCATGTACATTTTTTCTCAATAACAAAAAAAAAATAAATAGATCATTAAGAGCTTACATGTTTGGTTTTTTGCATATTGTGTTAACTTTGGTCATTATGTTATTTTAAATTGAAGAGAAAATATTGTGTAAATGATTGGTTTGCTAATGTGCGGAAGTCGGGCAGCAGTGTTGAAGGATCGAACTTCATTGAATTTTGCCAAAAGTCGCTTAACTATTAGAACCTTGAGGGGGCGATGCAACGATTTTTGTGCTTTGCGCAAATACCGCTTAGAACAAATCCCCACCGTTAATCACCTATGAAACACGTTTGTTTTTCACCACACGCAATTGAAGTCGCAAAATGAAATGAAATGAAAGAAAAACGAGCATCGTTCACCCCGCTCCCAACTCACAGCCAGAACAGGCGGCCACATGATCTGCAGCCGATTATATGCCGCCAATGTTGATCGTAGCCATTCCCTCAGGTTGGCGAAGCGCAGGACATGCGCTGGAGTTCCAGACATAGTTATGGTTTGGCTAGGCTATTGTTATTGCGGCGATTGAACGCGGGCCACTACACAAATGCTTGTCGATCTATTGATTATCACGAGCCCAGACCGAGTGCTGACACCATGCTCAGGTTCATTCTATGAGCCACATTAATATATCATCACTGGGGGGTACTGCGACCCCCCTGCTATGTCTTCAAGTTTTGCGAAGGAGAGATTAAAAGAAAACACTCGCTTCTGTCCTAGCAATTACACAGCAACAAAGGAATTTCTAGGTCACTGGCGTTGTAGGCGAGTATACTTGGGTTCCACGAGTGCCAGTAAGCTTGTGTAAAATTTAAAACATTCCAAGCGAACATCGTTGCACAGCCCCTTTAAGGTTTTAAAACAGTTTGCAACATTCCTATACTTTGTTTCACCGTAACTCAGCACTGGGCAAATGCTACAAGCCCTTTTAGCCAATCAGAGTGATGCAGGTGAAGCACATTATTTCCCTTGCCTAATATACAGGGGCGAGAGAGTAACCCAAGCAGCTGGAGAAAAGGGTAAGAAAGAAGCTCCCTTCTTATCTGGACCCTCTTTTGTGCGTCCCAGCTGTCACTCTTCCAATAAAATTAGCTGTTGGGCTAGTTGACTTTGCAATCAAAATGTAAAAGCGCAAAGGACGAGTATGAGATGTAGAACAAGACAGGAGATGCGCTTACTATCAACTGACATTTCAATATATTAGTAGTGAAAGACAAGGAAGAAGCGAGGGACATGTTAATTTTTAAAAAGACAGATGGAGATAATAATAATTTCAAAGAAGGCGTGAAAGCAGAAGCTAGTTTTCGAAACAACGCAAGTTAGATAGAAAATTAATGTTTCATGAAACTCTTAAAGAGATTCAAGAAAAATTCTTTATGAAAAGAAGTAGAGGTGCTTCACTTCTTTGTCAGCTAGCCCTATACATGGCCTGGACGTGACGTCATTCAAAGAGCACTCCGATGACCACCAGAGAAGAGGGGAAGAAGGAGCTTTCCTCTTATCGGGATCCTCTTTGGTGCCTGCCGGATTTGTACAGACGTCGCTATTCTCCTACCAGAAGATTATAGAAGATTAACCCGTCGCGCAAAATTCTTACAAAAGCAACTTTCCTCTCCTCCTCTTACATGGTTATCAAAAGTATGCAATGTGGCGTCAGTGCTAGCTATGTATAGATGGTGCTCTAAAGCATGTATCCCCTTTAGCTTTGATGATGATAACTAACAATGATTACAAGGATGACAACTAACGGACAATAAGAAAGAAGAGTTGACAAGAATCGCTGGCCTGCTGTTATACCGCTCATCCACAGAATATCTGACAACTTGAAAAAAGTAGCAAACAAGTTTGACATCACAGTAGTACTCTCTGCGCCAGAAAAGCTGAAAAGGCTTTGCCCTAAAATTAACTTTCAGAAAAAATCAACTGACCAATCTGCGGTGCGACGTACAAACAAATATGTCAACTGCAGCGTTGGAGTTGTATATGAGACACCATTTACCTGTGAGATCAGAGCTAAAGCGGATAACTGCATTGGTGCACTGTCTATAAAGCTGTCTGACAAAGAAGTGAACTTCCTCAACTTCTTTTCATGAAGAATTTTTCTTTAAATTTTTTTTAAGAGTTCGTGAAACGTTTGTGTTATATTTAATTTATGTAATTAAGTCAGGGGTTCTCAAACGTTTTGGTCTCACGGAACCCCAGGAAGCCTCAAAAACTGCCGCGAAACCCCCCCTCTATATTTGCCGATTGAGAAGCAACAGATGCACAATTGTCGGCAATTTTGCTTGTGTTGCTTCCCATATGTCCCCACCATATCAATCGCAATGTCAGTACAAAGTGAGATGAAGGCGCTTTGCATGGTCCTGCTGTGCAGCCTGCGGCGGGGGAGGGGCAGGGGGGATTGGGGGGAGGGGGGGGGTGGCAATTTGGGTGTTTGCGGAACCCATGAGACCAGCTCGTGGAACCCCTGTGTTCCCCGGAACCCAGTTTGAGGACCCCTGTGTTAAGTTATTATTAGCTCCTTCTGTTGTTTTTTTAATTACATATCTCTGACTTCTTCCTTGTCTTTCACTGCTGGTACATTAAAATGTCAGTTGATATTAAGCGCATGTCCTGTCTCATTCTACGTCTTGTCCTTGTTTTTTGCGCTTTAAGATTTTTATTATGTCACTTTTCTTCTTCTAGAAGATTAGCCCATCACTCACCATTTGTACAAAAGCAACTTTCCTCTCTCCCCCAGCCATGGCCTTGACAGCACTGCACATGGCTGGTGAGGTATATCATAGTTGCGTCTCTCTTTCTCCAACATGCCAATTGGCTCACCAGGGCAGTGATTTTTGCCATTTGCCAAGTAACGGCGAGACAGAGTATAGTAGTGTTGACGGTTGAGTAATTAGCGTGTCACAGCACGCGCTCTCGGAGTGTGGTAACGGCATCCCGCAACGTCTCGCAATCTGCAGGTCCTGGAACCGGCCCTGGAGGCGTGCCAGCTGTCGGCGTCACGGCTGTCTGCGGCGGATGGCGCCACCTACCTGGCCAACTGCGCCCAACTGGCCCACAGCACCCTGGCACCCTTTGAGTGCACCGAGCCCTGGCTGGAGAGGCTGGAGGCCCTGGCACAGCACCAGCTCGGCCTCCTCTCCCAGGAACAGCAGGCTGCCCTGCTCTCCCAGGTGGGTCCACAGGGAATCCGGGCCTCCCCGGTCGTCCTCGGAGTTCAAACGTTTCTCGCTGGTGTTACGATGCCTAGAACACGTCTTTAACCGGTGCTTTTGCCGCTTCTTAAAAGAGTGGTCTCATCACTCTTTTAAGTGATGAGACCCGACAACGTCTTAAAAGTGTAAAGCCGTTGCCGGCCACGGTCATGGCGGTCTCACAGCAGTGGTGGTAGATGCGGCGGATGCCCGTTCTACTGGAAGCCGCTCTCCGCTTGACGGTGCACGGAAGCTTCGGCAGCTAGAAGTTGGGATGCAGTGACGACGGCGATGCTCGCATTGGCTTTTGCTTTTCTCCAGAGCTTCTACACCCAACTGCTAGGATCGCGACGTCCGACAGCGTGACACTCGAGCTTTTGTGACGTCATTGGTTACCACTTTAGGATCACTTTCGATGCTTGGGCGCAATAGGACGCTAACAGCATCAGCCGAAGACGCGTTTGCTTTAGGCATGGACTACTAGTATGACACACACTTCTATTGCTAAGTGAAGTAAACTTAACATTGGCTGTAACACATTTAACTTGCTGATATCAGTTTAGCCCCTTGGCAACTAATGACGTGTGTCATTAATGCCATCCTGTATAGACCAGAAATCTCAAACACGAGCCTGGCTCGTGTTTTGGTTTCAAAGTTTGTTTTGTATGCTCTCCGGCAGATGGCAGTGTTGCCTGTATTGCTCTGCCCCTTTCAGGTTTTTTTCGGGTTCTTCCAAATTTTCACCAAAAGAGGGCTCCGTCGTCCCAGGAAAAAATAATTTGACGTCTGCAAGCGAGGGGAGAAGCGACGTGGTCTCAATGCAAAGGTTTGTTTTAGTAAGCCGCAGAGGCCCAATTTAGTCATTATAGAGCACGGTGTATGCGTTTCTGCATGCACCTTGCTGACAGCAGTGCTACCACACTATGTGATTACAGTTGAACTTCAGTCTAACGTACCCCAAACTAACAAAATTCGCAATTTAACAATATTTTTTTCGTCTCTCTATCTTGCTTCCATTGAAGACAATTTATTTAATCTCTCGATTTAGCAAAGTACTTTTGGGCCAGTTTCGATTTAATAAAGTCTTTGGAAATCGCGCATACACATATCGGAAGCCTCCGCTAGAAAAAAAATCTTTAACAGAGACAAACTTTATTGTCGAAAACTAAGCATAGAAATGTGTGCTCATTTTCTTTTTCAGAAAATAAAAAAAAGTACAGACCGGTGGTGGTGGGGGTGTTGATGATGATGATGAGTACCCTCATTGGGCTGTGCGGCTGAAGTTTCGCCGCGCATACACAGCTCTACTCCTCCCCCTGGCAAGGCGCGCCGATACTTGTTAGAAGCACGAGGAGCAGACGACGTGGGAGGCTGGTGTGCTTGTCATGCTGGCCTCGCGCTATGTAAAGTAATGTAACGAATGCAAAAGGTATCCAAATGCCACAGCATCGTATACGCCTCGCAAGTGGGCTCATTTCGTCTTCTGTGCATGAGAAAGAAAGTAGCAGTGACGTCAGAACGCCGAGTTCTGATTGGCTGATCGCGACCCCCTATCTCAGCGTCGTCTGCTCCTTTGCAACGTCGTCTGCTCGCAACATCGTCTGCGTCTGTCTTCCCTTTCCTGCGACTTTCGGGTCTTTACGAGCGAACTCGACTTCGCCTTTCAGAGAGGGCAGACGAAATAACTCGAGCGGTACGTTGTTTTTGTCTAACAACTAGCAGACGTGCATCAAGGAGGGAAGTCAAAGGACTCACTGGTGAGGTGTCCCGAGGCGCCGAGGTTTGTTTGCTAAGAACCGAGAGTGAGCGTGTTAGTGTCCGCAAGTTCCCACCCAAATACTTTTTCCCTACTTTCGTGTGCGGCGAAACCCCTCATTCTTTATCGGCGTCGGCGGGTTGGCGCAGTTAACGTCGTCTGCTTTACGTCTGCTAGTCAAAGCGATGGCTGCTTTACCTTTCCTGCGTCTGTCGGAGATTCACCGCTTTTTCACCGGCGAGAGTCACCGTTGCCTCGGGAAACAAGGAGATAACAAGAGGAAGAAATTGACCCCTTAATCTGAAACTGAGGTCAGTGATCAAAGTATAATACGGGAAGGGTTCACAAGGGTCGCGCGGGCATATTCCTTTCAGTGTACCAGCCGGTCGTGGGCAGACGATCGCCGAGTCGCGGAGTGCCTGCTAGGCCTAACTGCCGTGCTCGCTTGGTCGCGTTCGGTGGAATCGTGGCCATCGGAGCTTTTCCCGGGTGTTTGTGAATCCAGCGTTCTTGTTCGTCGTGGTCTGTTTCAAGTTCTTTTTACTTTTTTCTTGCTGCTTGAAGTCGGGACGCGTGAGAAGCGCACATAGAAAAATAAACGTCCGTGGGTCGTCGCAACCGCGACGCTGTCGGCCATGCTGATTTGATTGTAAGATGTGCGTAAGACAGCTTCGGAGCTGCTGTCGTAGGATTTCGTCGTAACCTACGCAAAACTTATGAAAATTTCGTTTTGTGAATAAGAATTTGTTCTTAAGTTATGTCTTAAGCACATTTTTGGTGTAAGATCGTTTCGTGAATCTGGCCTCTGCACTTCCGAAAGTCGCAGGAAAGGTAAGACAGACGCAGACTACGTTGCGAGCAGACAACGTTGCAAAGGAGCAGACGACGCTCAGATAGGGGGTCGCGATCAGCCAATCAGGGCTTGGCGTTCTGACGTCGCCGCTACCCCCTGCGCAAGAAGCAGACGAACTTGCCCTCCGCATTAAACAGAAAGGTATCTGTCTCGCGAAAAGTTTTGTTTGGTTCCTGGGAGGTGATTCAAGAAAAATCGCCAGAAGCATGAATCGCCAGCTGTGCGGAAGACAGGTTTAATCATTGTTTTTTTATCTTGTTGCGTGATTCAGTAATGCAGCTACACTTGCTTGTCACATTAATGGGGACTTCTCGTAGGTCACACGCGAAAGCATGCAGGAGTTTTGCGTTGCTTGGGGGCGGACTGAGTGGCGCCCGTGGGGCCCGCAATCCGACACTGACGTTCTGCGATACGTCTCTAATGTAATAGTTACGATGGTTCCCCATTGCTGTCGACGAATGAAACCCGAATATGCAGTTACCATTTTTTTTAAACAACTTTAAATTTGAGAATTAAGCTCACCTTGCTTACCCGCCAATTTTGTTCGATGTTAACAAGAGAAAGCAGGTAAGCAGCAAAAGACTTCAGGAAAAATTAGGCAGATAATCGTAGCCCCTATTGCGTGCTGACTTGAATGCATAATTGAAAAGAAATTGATGGCTGTATTCTAGTTTTTTTATATATTATTAAAATGATGTAGTTAGCCCACAAGAGGTATAATCACTTCCTAAGCGCCTCTCATTATTAGACACTAGAACATCCCTGTGTCGACCAATTGGAGCATGTTGGCAATGTTAGATGACCCTGATGTAATAGCTAGGATGGTTCCCGTGTGTGTCGACGAAATAAACAGGGATTTTGCAGTTACTATTTTTTAGACAGTTCTAATTTTCTGAACCCAGCTCACTTTGCTTACCTGCCAATTTTCTATTTTGATGCATTAGTGGAGACTGGGTCAATGAAACTAGAAACATCAACCGTGGAAGAGACAGAAAAAGGTTTCTCTCTTGCACGGTTGATATTTTTAGTTTTTCCGACCCACTCTCGGGCAATTCATCCGAATTGTTAATGCACACCCCAGCTCGCCCGCGCTCTCACAGTAATGTCTACCAATTTCGTTCCCCAATGCTTACAGGAGAAGGCTAGTAAGCAGTGCAAGACATGAGGGCAAATGAGGCAGATAATCATGCCCGTATTGCACACTGACTTGAGCGCATAGTTGAAAAGAGATTTACAGTGACGGCTGTACTGTAGTTCTTTTTTTATATTGTTAAAAGGATGTAGTTAACCTACAACAGGCATAATTACTTTCCAAGGAACTCTAAAACATCAAAACCTAGTACATTCCTCGGTCAAACAATAACAGTGTGTTGTCAATGTTAGATGTTTAACTTGAAAGCACCATAAAGAGGACGAGGACAGGACACGTCAAAAAGGCCAGTAACTAAATATTCAGGACTGAAATTTAAAGTTAAATAATCTTTTCTTGCAGAGTGAGAGAAGAAATTTTGACGATCCTTTCCTGGCGCAAAGACTCAAGATATATCAAATTTAATTGTACCTAAAGAGCAAACAAAACAAATTGTGACGCATATATTTTTTATTAGTTGTGAACCGCAACAGTGTTCGAAATTATCCCCTGAGGTCACATAAAAAAATAAGTTAAAAAAAGGCGACGCTTTACGACACAAATCCAAGTCGATTGGAGATCTCGCTCTTCACTGATAAAATTGAAAGTGGGTTATTGACGCCCATACATGAATTACGATTCTACCGCTTTGACGGCAGCGACAGATGCGCGCAAACACAACAAGGTTGGGTGTTTTTTGGGTTTTTTTTTATTTGCTCAAAATAAAAGTGGCGGCCTTATTGACATACTGTTTCGGTTTTTTATTAGAACTTGACCCAGCCAGGGCCAGGTTCAAAGGTGGACCGCATGCGCAGTATAAAAAATGCTGACGTTGACGAGCAATTTTAAAAGTGATATGACAGGTCCTTGGGGTATATCAGGTGCTTGTTTAGGGTGACCTCGAATTACGCTCAAAAACTGTGAAACCATGGAGTTGGTCGAAAATGAGCGATCACTAGGGAGCTGATGGACCACCGTTCCCATGATTCCTTGAGTGCAGGCCAGGGCGCTTGGGAATACTGCAAATGTTCCATTGGTGACTGCTTTCGTTATGTAACTATTTTAAACCACCAGGTCCCTATCAGTTATTGTATTTCTTGTTTCTCGGTATTCTGTTTAATTCTCCACTTTTCTTTAATTCCTCAGCATCCTGAGAATAAAATTAATCAATTTTTACTAAATTTTTTTTAAAGTACTTTATAGGATAATTTAAGATGGCCTATCATGGCACTCTGCCTCAATCAGCTCTGAATCTAGTCCAGTATCTTCAAAAGAACTGGTGCCACTATCAGAAAACTGGATTTGAGGATTCCTAGGGTGAAACAATGAGTGCCATTGGAAAAGGGGGGAAAAGCTTCTTTGAATGAACTTGGGTGCAAAAGATAAGGCATAGTGGGTACAGAATGAAGGTTGGGCAATCTCAATCCAGGTCACTGCAGCTCAGTGGAGTCAACAGGATCTGGCTTCTTTTCTGGAGAGAGTTGCCCATACTCGCTTGATCATGTGCTCGCATACCGTAACATCCCGAGTCATCGCCCACCCCCCTGCCGCCTGAAATTCACAAAAAAGTGTTGAGAGCCATGTCTCAGTGGGTAAGCACAAAAAGTAAAAAAAAAAAAAGTGGAAAAAATTGCAAAGTTTTTTTTGCGTATCTAGCAGTCTTGGGTAGTAACGCGTTACTGTAATTTCGTTACTTTTTTGGTAACTTGTAACTGTAATGAGTTACTTTTTAAAAATGTAATTTGTAACTGTAGTTCTGTGACTTTTTTCTGAGGTAACGATGAAAGTAACGACGTTACTTTTGTCGTTACTTTCCAGTGTTTTATGAATAATATATCACTGAACGAGGTGCAATTTAGTCATTCCTTGCACTTTCCAAATCGTCCATTTCGACATTTCGAGTGTCAAGTTGGCCTTGCACAAAGTTGTGAATACATTCTTTTTTCTCGCGAGTCACGACCCGAATATAGCCACGTGTAAATTTTATGAAAAATTCTAGTTATCTTTTCGCAGGTGCTTGTACTTTGTGACTGAACACTTACATCTTAGTGTCTTGAAGTATTATCTATGTTGTAGTTTTTCTTTTTTCTGTGCAAACGCTTTTTAATCGGGTGAATCAACCGTGAAACAACAATACACGTGGAGGGCACTGCGCATATGCGCAGTGCCCTCCAGAGTAGTGGCGCAAATCAAAATACGGAACATATGTTTCGTATTTTGATTTGCGCCACTACTCTGGTGTGGAAACTTTCAAACACTAACTTCGAGAAGTAACTGCTGCTAAGTTACAATATGAAGTAAAAAGCGTGCTTTTTAATTTTATGCAATAAAACGTTGTGAGGGGCGTTTTCTAGTTTTTCCTAATATTTTTTTGTTATAGAAAAGTAACTGCAAAGTAACGTCGTTACTTTTTAAAATTAACTGTAACTGTAACGAGTTACTCTTTTGTTGCGGTAACTGTAACGGTAACTTTGCTACTTTTTTCTAAAAGTAACTGTAACGAATTACTTTTTAAAAGTAGCTTACCCAAGACTGGTATCTAGCGCTGCTGCCCAAGAGACACATTACACTAAAAACTCGACTTAGTTTCATTGTTTTATAGAAAAAATGCTTACGAAAGAACGTTATACTATTGTGAAGTCCGTTGCTTGCATACGCGTAGGGTGACCACCTTTCTGCAACCGAAATGCGGGACTGCGGGGCGGTGGGAGCTTGAGGGGGGGGGGGGGGGGGGTAGACGAAATTTATTAACACGCACACCACGAACCGAGGCTAGGAAACAAAGTATAAAACAGAAAGTATAAAACCTTCTAATTGTTTTGCAGGTTCAGCAATTCAGTTCAAATATTTTTACTCCCAGTGACATACTTTTTTTATGCCAAATGTGTTACTAAATCTGTCGAAATTGAAAACATAAAAATCAACTGAAGCAAAGCTCAATGCATCAGATGGAAATAAGAAACCGTAAATCTTCTTCTGGTTATTGTTTTTTGTCAACGCTTACTTTTATCAACATGGTGCTGCACTCTAAAAAAAGCCCATGTGTCTAGTTTCCCGCACAACACTGGGAGAGCCAATCACCGCGAGCTAAGGAGGCAGTTCAGCGAATGACGACGCCGAGACATATGTTTAGGCCGAAAAACGCAGTATGAGTTTTGACATTAAGCAATGCAAAACTTCACGCTTGCATTGCATAATGTCACAACTCAGACTGCGTTTTTTTTTTTTTGTTTTTTTTTTTTGTCTAAACATATGTTTTAACATCGTCATTCGCTGAGCTGCCTCCGTAACTCGCGGTTGTGCGTGAAAGTAGACGCACGGGCTTTTTTTAGGGTGTACACAAATTTTTAACAGTATGTTCTTTTTCGACCCTTGTGAGTTGCAGGCTTTTTCCCTTGTGTAGCTGTCTTCACGAAAAAAAAAAAAATATCCACGCAAACCTTTTGTTGTGACACAGCGATATGAAAATAATTACAGTATCTTATAATTAAAATTTTGGCGAGCAATTTTTTTTTATAATATTTTGCCACGAAGGGGAGAGGCGCAACGGAGCAAGCGCGTCGGTTCTACTGCAAGAACGGCGGTCGCTTCCCGCAATACTTGGACAGAAAATGGCGTACCCATGCGATTCACACGATTACCAGCGACCTCCGCGCTTCCCCGTTGTTCGGCAGCACCATGAGTGGCAGCGTGAATATTACGACAGTATGATATGCGGGACATTTTGAAGATTTGAAAAGTTCTTGCGGGGCACGAGCCCTCAATGCGGGACAGTCCCGCGAGTCGCGGGATGGGTGGTCACCCTACATACGCGCCAGGAGCACCGCCGCTCTACATACAGCGCGAACATTTGTTCCGTGAAAGCACGTCACCACTATGTTCTCCTAGTTAGTAAAAAAAAGGAAAGTTTACAAGAAAATAGAAAAACCAACCACGCGCAAGGAGCAAACAAGCGAGCGAGCGGACCGAAGAAGCGACGAAGAGCGACGCTCGGAAATCGGAAAAACTGGGGCGATGGCGTTGGCGAATACTTTGGCGTCGGGCCAAGTCAGGCGCCTTGTCAATCGCAAACTCTGGCGCAACTTTCTTGTTTGGTGCGGACATGCGTGCGTCCGTGCACTGCGTGCTATCAATGGGGGTTTGGGACGCTCTGCAAACGTCTGTGTAGGGCGTTCCAGCCCGCTGGCTTTTGAAACAGGGAGTTTTAGTAGACCGTGTTTCCCCCTCCGCTAGCCCTCCCCTACGAAGAAACTGCCACTGCGCCTGCGCGCCGATGGCCTTGGCTGTAGAGTTCCGGGTAGCGGAGGGGCTTAGCGGAGCGGGAAGCACGGTCTACTAAAACTCGCGGTCGCGACGTGCAGGGAGAAGGGGCGGGTTCGTGGCGACCTTCGGCGGAGACAGGCTGACTCTACACTCCGCGGCTACATTCCATGATCTGGAGCGTTTGCTTATCTCGCGATCCTTGACTGGGTTACTGCTTGTGTTATCTTTCCGTTGTTTTTTGTTGTTTTTTGCCGGGTCGATTTTTTTTTTTTTAAGCAACACAAACTTTTCTTTTCTCCCGGATACACTATCTTCGCGGTCACCCGCGGAGGAAATGTGTAAACAAAGAGAAGCGTCTTTTTCACCTTCGTTTTACTTTATCACGGACGTTTTCCGTTCTCTAAAGTTCGTGACTGCGTCATTCGGGTAGGATGAGTGTTTGCGGATTGCGGAGTCCGCATTGGGGTATTAGAAGGGGTGGGCGATGACTCAGTGGTTTTTTTTTTTGTTTTTTTAATCGACATTGGCTCGAAAAACGGGGTGGGCGATGACTCGGGCAATTGCGGTATATTCTTGCCTAATACCTCCTTAACCAGCAATTTTTGAAAATGGTGGATTAAGGTACAAACCGAGAAGATCGGGCAATTTTGGCAGTGATTCCTGATCCGATAAGATGGCCCGCTGTGATGGAAAGGTTTGAGATGTTAAAGGACATTGGGAAAACAAACGACAGGACCTAGGCGATCAACAATTTGTATTAAACAAAAGAAAAAAAGTTTAATTATGAAAAATAAGAAATAAACTAGAAATTGGAATATTTACAATAGTTGGTCAGGTTACCTTCAGTTTGGGTCCGTCCGAGGATTCAAGGCTATGGGGTGTCGTCGTCATTTTGGTGAGGTTGTATCGGGGTCAAGTGATGACAAAGGTGCACCGTGTTGGGGCGTCGGCGTGTGGGCGTTCTTGGTTTCCTATCAGTCCTGAACCAAAAAGAGGTTCCGTAGCGTGCCAACGTCTGGACTCCGGGAAGCACTCTTCCCAGAACTTAGATGAGTTTGTATACAGCCCGTAACCTGGCAGCCCAGTCCTGGTTTATGCCGTGCTGCTCAAGAGCCCAGTCCCGGTTGCCGGCCGCCGGCCATTTCGTGCAGACACCGTTCCCCGAACACTCCTTCCAGTGCACTTCTTCGTCCTTCTCCCTTCTTCCTCTAATAATGTTACGGTGCCTGGAACGTGTCTCTGACTAGTGTGTTTAGCGTCCTAGTCCCCTCGTACTTCAAAAGTTGTCCCGAAGCAGCAATAGCCGATTTCACGAGAACACGTGTGTCATGCTGTCGGATGTCACGACCCTGACAGTTGGACGAAGAAGTTCTGTAAAAGAGCGAAAGAGAACACGAGTGTTGCTGCCGTCGGGGCATCCCAACTCTCGGCTACCCAACCTTCTGTGGACTATCAAGCCGAAGAATGACCTAGCGCCGAACAGGCGTCTACCCTATACAGCGTCACTGTAGGGAAACCACCAAGCTTACCGGCCGGCGACAAGACGGCACTTCAGTGACGTCATCGGGCGCAAATTGAGAGACCGCATCTTTGGACGTGGTAAACACACCGTTCGGAGATACGTGCACCATAACAATATTCGCATCATCATGGCTGCGCAAGATAACCGAGCCGCGTTTTGGCCCCACTTTCTGTCGCGCGATGCCCGACCTTTCTTGCATTATCTGCTCGCAGCTTGGGCTGAGCACGCCCGTGCGGCTGCTCGGCCAGGGCCCCCTGGCCACGCTGCCCGGCTGCGACGTGCTGGCCCTCCGCACTGCGGGGTCCCGCCTGGCACGCCTCCTGGAGGACGGCTTTCCCTTGCCGCTGGGGCAGCTGCTAGCGAGCGCCGGCCACCGGCGCATCCTGAGGGCAACCACCCTCGCAGCACTGTGCGACGTGTACGCGCAGCTCCACGCGGCGGTGCACGACCCGGCCAACGGATACCCGGACCCTTCGCTGCTGCTGCCGGTCCCGCCCGAGGAGATTCGGGCCAAGCTGCTGCCCGTGCAGCCTTCGGAGACACCAATAAAGGCTGTGGAGTCACCTTGACATTCGTGTTGGAGGGCAATTTGTCATTCGGCCATTCGTTGGCTGGTAATAGAATATTTGGAGCGTCGGTTCGAATAGCGCTATTCGATTCAAGCCTAGAATTGGTGTGGTTTAGGAGAGGGCTCTCTTCAGATAACGGCTGCCGAGTCACCTTGATGTTGGTGTTGAGGAGAAGCTTGCTATTTGGGCGTTTGTTGGCTGGGATTCGAATATTTGGATCGTAGGTTCGCATGGCACTATGTTTGATTCAAGCCTATGATTGGTGGGGTTAAGGAGAGGATTAACTTGAGATAACGGTGGCCGAGTCACCCTGATGTTGATGTTGATGAGAAGCTTGTGGTTGTGTGTTCGTTGGCTAGTGTGAGAATATTTGAATCGTAGGTTCGAATAGCACTGTGTTCGATTCAAGCCTATGATTGGTGGGGTTCAGGAGAGGGTTACCTTCTGGGGGGTAATGGCTGCTGAGTCACTCGGATGTTGGCGTTGATGAGAAGCTTGTCGTTTGGGCACGCATTGGCTGGTTTGGAATACTTGGGACGTAGGATCGAGACGCACTGTGCTCGTTTCAGTCCTACAAGTGGTAGGGTTTAGACAAGAGTCTCGAATGCTGCCGAGTCATCTTGAAATTAGTGTTGGAGAGGAGCTTGTCATTTAGGCATCTACTGGAATTGACCTTTTTCAGAGATCGCATGGCGCATGCGCCGACTCGGAGAGAGGAGAGGAAAGGGAAAGGCGCCATTTTTGGTGGCTCTCTCGCCCGCTCGGTCGCTCAGACAGTGCTGGTTATGCTTGACTCTTTCGGTGTTCTCGCGGCTTGGCTTCATAGTCGTCATGCCTCACCACCGCGCAGCAGAAGGTTGCACAAATAGAAGCAAACATTGTTAAAATTCCAAGTTTTATAAAGTTCTTGTAGCCTTTGCGGGTGGTGCACGAAAGCACCCGATGTCAAAACGCCCCGCCGTTTTTGCCCTGCTTTCAAAAGCCTATGACGAGAGTCCCCCGTGTCAAGTGGCTGGAACATCAATGTGACGGCGGGACATTCTGCTTTTAACTAAAATACAGTAAATGTGAACAAGATGGTATACCTGAAATAGGGGTAGGAAAAGGAAAACGTAAACGGACACAAAAAAAGGACAGGCAACGTCTCCTGAGACGTTGCCCGTTTTTCCTTTGCGTTTTCCTTTTCCTAACTCAGTCTCAAGTTTCATAATTGAAAATGAACGTGTTGCTGATTAGATACGAATACATGACAGGATAAAACATCAAGGACGGGGACGGATACAGGACCTTTTGAAAGAGGTACTCTTTCCGTCCCTGTCCTCGATGTTCCATCAAGCTTTCATGTATTCAACTTACACCAGGTCGCCTGCACTCTGACCATTTTTTATTAATATTAAACGTGCAAGCGAGGTTGTGTGACGTAATCATGCCATACCCGGTACTGAATTAAAAAATAACAGCATAAAGCTTTCCGTTCTTCAGGCGTGCGCTATACACATTCGCGTCTTGAAACGTTAAAAAAAAATTGATAAAACATTTAAAGCGAGCGAAACGAATTTAAGCCTTACGGAGACAGAACCTTGATAAAATTTCTTGGCAACCAACCGTGAACTTGTGGCTGTTTGCTCTTTGCCCTGTTTGCTGGGCCCACTTTGTCGAAGGTTCGTAAACGTGCCGAATTCAAAGATGGATTGTTTCTAACATACCGTTCCTTACTTTTTGACGGTGCAGGTTCGCGATATCAAGACGGCCCGGATTTCGCACCGCCCGAGTTTGTTTACACATTCCCAAATACGGCAATGTCCCGTGCCCTCGCGCGGTACGCAGGACGGCGAAGTGACGAACGCGATAAGCTTGAATAACTTAAGCGATCAAGGAGAGTAAAATCAGCTGTTTCTAGTGGCCGGGCCTCATAAACGGTAGATTGTTGGGTCGGTATCCAAGCTGGTCACCATTACTCTCCTTACATAACACTCTGCGACTCTGCTTTCAAAACAGACCCCTTTTTTATTTTAGTTGCTTGCAAGACGCGACGCTGAAGTGACGATGAAGTGACTCCGAGTCGATGGCAAGAACCGATGCGGCGTCGGCGGTCTATCCATCCCTGAAGGTATAAAAACGAACGAGGCCCTCTGTATCCTCGACATTGACTTTTGTTAATCCTCTAGGTCGTTCTCAGCCATTTCGAAGAAAATATGCACTCGAAGCGACGACAGAAAGACATGTTCAGATTGGTGAAGGACGGAACAACATCACCAGAGAACACACGCAAACACATGCACCGGGAGACAGGCCACGCCTGGCGCGGACGACGGAGAGACGTTCCCGGAGCCACCAAAAGTTTTTCGAGCGATTCCCGCGAGGGCGCGCCACGATCGTGGCCAAACTCTGAAAAAGGTCAATTAAACTACCCATTTTCCGAGCCTCAGTTTGAAGAGCACCTTGTTTGACTGTACCCTAGAATTGGTATGGTTTAGGCAAAGATCACTTCCATATAAAGGCTACCAAAATGCCTTGATATTTGGGTTGAGGAGAAGGTTATTATTTGGGCTTATGCTGGAATTCTAATATGCAAGGTTTTTTAAAGGGGCGATTCAACAATTTTCGTACTTTGTACAAATACCGCTTAGAACGGATCCCTGACGTTAATTACCTATAAAGCACGTGTTCGTTTTTCACCCCTGTAATAGAACCCCCAGAAAAAAATTTAAGAAAAACGAGCAGCCTTCACCCCCTCAACTCTCAGCCAGAACAAGCAGCCACGTGATCTGGAGCCGATTATATGTTGATCATAGCCACGCGCTGGGGTTGGCAAAGCACAGGACACGCGCTGAGTTCCAGACATTGTTATGGCTCGGCTATTGTCGTCGTTTCAGCGAGTGGACACGGGCCACTATCCGAACTCTTCTCGAGCTAGTAATTATCAGGAGCCCAAATCGAGTGCCCACGCAATGCTCGGGTCCAATCCGTGAACCGTTTTCAAATATCGTCATTGGGGTGTACTGCGATCCCCACGTTACGTCATCGTACTACATCAAGTACTACTTATTTTTTTACTTGAAGTACATTCTCTGAGTATGTACTTCTTTTCTGGCACTTTGCGAGGAAAGTATAATTCCCGACTTCAAAGTATATTCCCCAAATTTGGTTTTGTTAAATTTGTATCGCGAAATGATACTTTGTCAACTCTGAAGAAATTACGTGTGGGATATTCTACTGGTTGCCAGAAACGTGAGCAGACGACGCATCGCTCCATTTGTTCTGGGGGCGGCTTTCCCGTAGCTTTTTGAACTCTTGGTACTTCTTGCTTTGTCAGCGAAAGCGAGGAGGTTTAAAATATTAGGAGAGCAAAACTAATCATGATGTAGCACCTTAGACCGTGGTGTGGAAAATTAAATTTGGAAGTCGAAGTAGAAGACAACAGAGGAAAACGTCAAATGTTTTGAGATATTATATTTTGTCTTTTCTTTCTATTTGAAAGATACCTAATTTTTTCGCACTCCAAGCTCAGGTGTCGCATTATGATTAATTATCACCGGCGCGCTTGCACACTCACTGTTTTATCATTAAGGAGTGGACACTCCTCCATGAGGGAATTGCTTGCGGAAGCTACGGGACTGACATCATGCTCTCTCTTAGTAAATTTAGCATCCTTGAGTGCAACAATTCATTGCAAGGGGCGCCAAATTCAGAAGAGGGACTTCTGAATTTGGCTCCATTCCCGAAAATAATTACTTTATGGCCACTTGACATTATAAAATATTTGCCGCTGTTCTTGAAAATAGGTCATGCACCCCTGATTACCCATGGGCAATGCATACCAGTTAAAAACTCACTGTATAGGGCAGTGGTCTCAAACTCATTTGAGTGGGGGGCCAGATAGCCCGCAATGGGAAGCCCGAGGGTCAACATTAGACTGGGAGGGGCTCAAAAAATTTAAAAAAGAAGAGACCTCGTGCTTTATGGTTTTTTGTAAACTCAATTCTGCCAGCGACATCTTTAGATTTAGTTTGTTTAAATGACTTCTTTGGGCCCTGACCTTATGTGGGAACAATGATTAAAATGAAACTAGCCCGCCAACGTGCTGGTATTTTTAATAGAACAAGATAGCAAGCACACTGTTGTTCCCGTTGCTCAATTCACTTGGGAATTAACCAAGCTCAACATGTCTTTAAAAATCAATAAGTTAATTTGACAATTCTTGCTTTCCTGACGATTTTTATTACCAACACTCTAAGCAAATACTTATCTTTTATTGGTGACAATTTTTGAAGGCGAGAATTGCGAGCTCGTAGCTCTTATGCAGCTGCTCCTGCTGATCGAGAGTCCGCGCAGCTGAGATGCATCCTTCAACAAAGAGTTCGCCCTTGCAGCCTAGTAGCGGAATCGTTGTACAGTGCTAATCACACTTGTCTATAACGCGCGAGCATGCGGCTTTCTCCGGGGAGCGCTAGACTGGTGGCAATCGCGGAAACTAAGCTAGCCACGTGGCGCAACATGGAACGGCCCGCTCGAGGGGTGTCCTGCCCACTCTATCAGCTGGCGGCGAACGCGGAAGGCTGCTCGCACGATTTTTACAAACATCATTGCTTGAACAATAATCAAACTAAAGCATGAAGGCGTATCAACGATGTCGTCATCAAAAAACAATGTGCTCATATTTTTTTTTTTTTTTGTTTTCGCAGTCCATTCAAGCCATTAAACGTTTTGAGCGCATTTTCTAGGAAATCAATTTGGCAGAATTAAGACAACGGGATATCTAATAGGCCTCAAAATAACGATATGATATGTGCAGATGCGAAGCACGTCTAAGGGAATTAGAAAAAGAAAAGACCGCATTTGGAAAAAAGAACACTGTTGGTATGCTCACAATAGCGCGCAAGCGATAAACGGTGAGATAAGCGGTCAGAAGCGAGCGTGAAGCGTGCTGCGAGCAGTCTTCTGCGTTCGAAGCCACCTGATAGAGTGGGCAGGACACCCCTCGAGCGGGCCGTTCCATGTTGCGCCACGTGACTA